TTCTTTCTGCTTCCAGGCAATGAGGTTCCAGCGATTCCTAGGATCCTCTCAGAATCAAATTGCCAGTCTTATTTTCTACTTTCACAGGTTTTGAAAGCAGAACCCCAAACGAGGAGGGTAAAGAAGATCCCAAAGGGGCTGCCTGTCCTGCTACCATCTCGGCAGCGTCTCAGGCAGGTAGTCCCAGAGTGGTAGAAGATCCCCAAGTACAATCACTTGGACAGAGCTCTGGGGTGAGCAGCTCCCTTAAAAAAAGGTCCCCCACAGGCAAGAGTGAGGTTCTAGAGGTCAAAGTGGCCGAGAAGCCCCCCACGCCCGAGCCAGAGATGAAGTTCATCTGCACAGAGTGCGGGGTGTGCTTCCCAAAGCTGGCCCGCCTGGAGGGGCACCAGCTGCGTTCTCACCCAGGCTCGCGGTCCTTCCCGTGCCTAAGCTGCGGGAAGATCTTCGGCCGCAACTCCATCCTTAAGCTGCACATGCGCACGCACACGGACGAGAGGCCACATGCCTGCCACCTCTGCAGCCACCGCTTTCGTCAGAGCTCACATCTGAACAAGCACCTGCAGACGCACTCTGAGCCTGCCTTCCTGTGCGCTGAGTGTGGCCAGGGCTTCCAGAGGCGGGCCAGCCTCCTGCAGCACCTGCTGGCGCATGCTCGGGACCAGAAGGCCCCCTGCACTCAGGAGACCAAGACCAAAGCTCAGGAGCTGGCCATGGTGCTGTGCTCCCACTGTGGCCAAACCTTCCAGAGGCGCTCCAGCCTCAAGCGTCACCTGCGAATTCATGCCAAAGACAAGGGCCGCCAGCGCTCCGAGCACAGGCCCTACGTGTGCAGCGACTGTGGCAAGGCTTTCCGGCGCAGCGAGCACCTGGGGGCCCACTTGCGTGTGCATACGGGCGAGCGGCCCTTTTCCTGCCAGGTCTGCGGCCGCAAATTCAGCCAGAGCTCCCAGCTGGTCTGCCACCAGCGGGTGCACACGGGAGAGAAGCCGTACAGCTGCCCACAATGCGGGAAGTGTTTCGTGCGCCGGGCGGGCCTCGCCCGCCATCTCCTGACCCACGGCGGCCCGAGGCCTCACCGCTGCGCCCAGTGCGGCAAGAGCTTCAGCCAGATGCAGGATCTGGCCCGCCACCGGCACAGCCACACCGGCGAGAAGCCCTGCCGCTGCAGCGAGTGCGGCGAGGGTTTCAGCCAGAGTGCACACCTGGCGCGCCACCAGCGCATCCACACTGGGGAGAAGCCCCACGCCTGTGACACCTGCGGCCATCGCTTCCGCAACAGCTCCAACCTGGCCCGCCACCGCCGCAGCCACACGGGTGAGCGGCCCTACGGCTGCCAGACGTGCGGTCGGAGCTTCCGGCGCAACGCCCACCTGCAGCGACACCTGGCCACCCACGGAGGGGCAGGAGACCAGGCAGCGTCTGGGCAGGTTGAGCCACCCCAGGAGTGCCTACAGTGCGGCAAGAGTTTCAGCCGCAGCTGCAACCTGCTGCGTCACATGCTGGTGCATACGGGGGCCAGGCCCTACTCGTGTGTGCAGTGTGGCCGCAGCTTCAGCCGCAACTCCCACCTGCTGCGCCACCTGAGAACCCATGCCCGAGAGACCTTGTACTAGCTTCACCCGAGTTCCACCAGGCCTACCCTGCCTGCCTCTTCCTGGCCAGGTCCAGGTCCCTGTCCCCCAGCCCCAACCCTGGCCCACCCTACCTCCCTCTGGAGCTCCCTCAACCCTGCATGTTTGTTCTTCTCCAGAGGCATCTCTTCTTGACCTCAGAAATGTATTTCAAAATTCCCTAAGTAAAACAGCCTTCTTGAAAGTGGTCCCTCTTTCGCTTTTTTTAAGCTCACCCAAATACCATTTGTAACCCTCCTCACCATGTCACACTGTGATGTCTTTCTCCCTCCCCAATACCTTCAATAACAGGCTGGATGGAAACAGATCTGGGGAGAGGTTCTCCCACCCCAGAAAGGCGCAGAGTGGCGG